ATAAGTATTTTAATAATAATGATTTTAACAGATGATGTAAAATATTGATGAAAGAAATATAGTTTAAGTTATAATAGTTTTTAAGTATCTAAGCTGTTCTTGTGTCAAATGAATAAACGAGTTAAAGAAAAAATATTGCTTTTTGTTCTTCCCTGTGTAATTTTTTATATTGAGTAGAACTTGGTAATTGCTTTCGAATCAAATGAAATATAATAAAGGTGAACGTCTACTGGGTCCACGCAATGGACGCATGGTCCGCTATGGACTGTACAGATTTGACGATGTCGTACGTCCACTGCATCCGGATTTTTAATAGGAGTGGCATTTGACAGTTTTAACATAGTACTGCAAATTAATGTACCTACGGTCGAATAGTGAATTGAGTGCTACTCAAATTCATACAAAAAATCTATGGAGGATGACGGATCTCCCGTAGAATTCGTGGTATAAATTTGCGTACACATGCATCCGTTGCGTGCGTTCAGGCACAGTGGATGTATGTACATCTTAAAGAGCAATTCAAGTTTCTTTGGCAAATACTGTCTTTTAACAAAATCATTTACTAAAAGTGAAGAATTGATTTCTGGAAAGGAGAAAAGTTTTTTGTTTAAAATTTTTGCCGCTTTATTCTGCAGAACATGCTATTTTTTTATCATCTATTACATTATCAGGCGTATCGATCCACATTTCAGTAAGTATAGAAGCAAGTAAATATATCTAAATGAAAATCTATTAAAGCGAGTAAATATTTATAGATGTCTAGGTAGACCGTAAATCAAGCCATCACAATTCATTCTTAGTACATTCAGTGGAAAGATTTGACAAATTCGTATAACTCTACGTATTAGGGTTCAACAATGAATGCATCTTGTATCAAGATGCATTCATTGTTGAACCCTAAAAGTTATTTAAGATACGAGTGCGGAAAGTAAGGTTTTCATTGGCACGAATTCGAAAAACCTTTTACGCTTAAGTTTCTTACAACATTTTTCAATGCTTTTTGTGAGGAAATAAAACAAATATATAGGTTAATAAAACTAAGTATGTATTTAAGGTAAAATTATTTGTTAAAATTAAACGTGATATTTGAACATGTTTTCGTGTCATACATTTTTATTTGAAAATATTCGTTCTAATTGATATACTTTGCCTCTAAAGTTTGACATATTTTCATCAATTTTTTTTTAATTTCTTTACTGCTCGGCCGAAAAAAAATTAAAAAATACTTTTTAGCACGTGTGCAGTAAAGGCTCACTTTCGGTGTTTATAATGGATTAAAAAAATAGAGCTTTATGAGCAATTGCATTGAAAAACAATTTAACCGTCATTAATCTTTCACATGTATATGTAATGTTTTACTTAAAAATTTATTGAAGAACTAGCTTTCCGCCAGCAGCTTCTCCCGCGTATTCCTCTCATCATCGTCATCAGCCATCAGCTCAGGCCTTCCTTATGGATAGTTAAGGAGCATGGGCCATGACCCTCCACGCTGGCCCAATGCGTATTGGCGGGTATTAACGACTACAAATGCAGCCGGGACCAACGGCTTGAGGTGCCTTCCGAAGAACGGAAGACCTTGAGATAATAATTTTTTGGGCACCCATCCCGTGATCGACCCTTGCGATAGTTGCTTAACGACAACGATCGCGTGCCGCGGCACATATCCACTACGCCACCGAGCTACTCGTGTTCCTCTATTCAATGTAAACTTCACCCCTCTATTCATCTCATTTACTACTTACATCATGAAAGGCACCTCTGTACCAAATTTCAAGTTTCTAGGTACAGTAGTTTCGGCTGTGCGTTGATATAAAAATCAGTCCGGTCGTTTTAGCAATTGCCACAAAGAGCCACAGTATTGCTTGACATTTAATAATAAGTAAAAAAAAGTAGACAACATTACTAGGAAAATAGCTCGGCTCGGAAAGTATCTAAAATAAAGCTACATAATATAAAACCCAAACTCGAGAAGATATAGTTAAGTTTATTTTCTACATTGACTCGAATGGGAACCGACTTCGTCATCTTAGGGATCACGGCACCTTAAAACAAGAAATAAAAATTTGCACCTCAAAACAAGTGAAGTGTGAATGGAGCTTTAAACCATGTTGTACATTCCATAACGTATTGCATCAGTATAATTATAATAAATACATATACTGGATTTCGGCATTCCCCTAATCATATGGACTTAACAAACATGCCGTGTTAGGGGATTTAAAAGCGTTATCATTTCTCTTAGAAATTATTCAATAGTTAGTTATTGAGATGACTCATCGAATTTAAGAAGCGTTTTTACCCATCTTTTCAAATATCGGACAGCAAATCCAGTAAACAAGGCAATTTTTTGTCCGTTACTTATCTTCGTCAGGACGTGAATTATAAATACTATTGACCCATGAAGACTAGATATGAGACGTCAGTTGTTACTTAATGCAACTCATTTTATACAAAGAGATAAAGTCTAAATAAGCTACAGTTAAAAATGAGAAAACTAAACTTTTATTGGCATGTTATTTATTACTGCCAAAGCATTAATTCCATAATAAAGTTATCCAGGAGAAGACTAAAGTGATTGATATCAATCAGAAATGTAGCAAGCTGAAGTGATAGTGGGCTATCCATATCTGACGCAGAACAGACGAGGTGTAGAGTAGGCGTTTTCGAATGGAGACCACGTCACGGCAAATAGTGTTCGAATGCTCCCGGCAAGATGGACTGACGATCTCAGAAAAGTGGCCGGCAGTGGCTGGATGAACACAGCTGAAGGTCGTGTTCTGTAGTGTACTCTCGGGAAGCAGTCTAGCAGTGAACTGCAACAGGTCGACGTGATGATGAGGAGAGCATGGATGAATAAAATTTTAATAATCAATAACTAAGTGAACTCGTTTTTATTCGACATTTTTGTTTTGTCGTTGTCAAATAGGTTTAGGCAGCTTAGTCCTCGTTCTAAAATAAGATGCATACTTAGTGATTTTCATACGTTTCAAAGATTTACTTGAGGTAAAAGAAAAACTGTTAAAGACCTAGAAATAACCATCTGTGTTCTAATGAAAAATAACAATTTTAATTTATTATATGAAGTTGACATTTTACAGTGATAAATAGGTGATTCATAAGAAAAAATTCCTGGCGTCAGATCTGTCACCGTTATAAACAGTTTTAACTTTTTTATATGGAGATGTAAGGCTGTATGCACCTTTTTTTCAATGCATATGTGTGCAATGGTGTTGGTTTATTTCCTTTCAAGGTCTATAAGCAGACCATACACGCAGTTCCGAAAATAAATCATCTGTTGAATAGCGCTATCTACTGAGTTCCAATTGTAAATTAAAACCTTTCAGTGACATCGACACAAACAAAAAACATCAGTCAAGCGGAGGAGGACAGTAGCAGTTTAACAACAATAAAACCTACAAGAATGATTATAACATTGTAATCATGAGATTTGGTAAATATGACAAAAAACGTACGTTAATTACCCTTACGGGATATTTATTTTATTTTATTTCCTTTTCTCAAAATCCTATGTTTGATTGTTTATATAAAAACTAGAAAACTAGGGGAACCCACATAAATTCCGGTGATATATAAAAGGTGGGTTATTATAGTTCTGAGACAACAATGTACTAGTCGAGCGAGCGGTGCGAGCGTGCGGGTGCAGCCGCTTGCGATTAGCTAAAAATTCTTAATGATAAATCCTGAAATAGGATTCGAACCCTTGACCTTTTGAAATCCGGACGACTGTTCTGACCACTGAGCCACCCAGGACAGGACTGATGTATCTTTCAAACACTCGTTAATTCTTCGCTACTACAGAGCGTATTCTCCGCCGGTGATATAAAAAAGGTGGGTTATTTTAGTTCTGAGACAACAATGTACTAGTCGAGCGAGCGGAGCGAGCGTGCGGGTGCAGCCTCTTGCCATGAGCTAAAAATAACTATTCTTAATGAAAAATCCTGAAATGGGATTCGAACCCTTGACCTTTTGAAATCCGGGCGACTGCCACCCAGGACCTAACAGGACTGATGTATCTTTCAAACACTCGTTACTTCTTCGCTACTGGATATTTTAAACATTTTTCATTAACAATATTTTTCAGTATAGCATTGTGAATGCGAAATTGATAATATATAATAATTAAAAATACCTACTTAGAATATGTCTTAGGAACATATCATAAGAAGTTATTTTACGAAAGTAAAGTTAAAGACGCATATATAAATTACATGAAACAATTACTACACGCAAAGTAGCCTGTAAGAATTGATTGCGTAAATATAGACTTAAATACATTATACCTAGGTACTATTATTGATAAGTACTTTTGTGCTCCTCGCGTTGATTTGTGAGATCTTATGAGCTTTAATTAGCACAAAGAAATTTGTGTTTTGTATTATAATATATGACGAAATAGCATTGTTTATATGACCGCAGTCAATCAGGACGAACGTCTAAAGTTTGTTACTGTGCGGTGCAATAAAAAAAACCAAGGCTCAAGTTACGTCAACAAAACGAATAGATTTAAAGAAAACAAAAGAATATAGAAAAACCTATCATTCGTACTTTGCACCTATACAAATTCCATATTAGCGTCCATTTCATTATTAGATGGTGTCTTAAAATAAGTTCTAATAAATGAAAATAAACTTGAGTTTCAAAAGAGACCAATCAAGGAAACCAAGAACCGGCTGGAGTGGGAAAACCGAAAACGTAGGTATTGCTTATATACCATACATATACACCGGTAAATGATCAAAGAAATTTGCACCTTCAAACGACGCGGGTAAAGTTCAAAGTTCAATGGTGACCACCAGTGGGACAAGTTGCGATACAAATTATCTTGTTTACAGTCATCAAGGCAGAGTCACTCGAGTTTATTGTGGAAACCGCACGTTTGTGAGAGGAGAAATGATATTAGAAATTGCAATTTAATTAAACTAAACAATACTTATTCAGAATTAGTCGGATTGTTTTACAGTGTTTAGAGTTTTAATATAATGGATTTAAAATGTGAGTACAAAAACGATTTACAACTACATTTTTAACTATATGAATATTAATCAAACGAGAAGAACGTTTGTTTATGATCTGTTGGGAGTTTAAAACGTGGCCTTGTCACATGATTTAATTGTTTTTCTGACTTAATTAAAATGAGAAACTAGTTTTCTGTCAAAATAAATAAGGGTCACGGTTTGTGGGTGACACATTCGTCGTAGAAGATTTGTTATACGAAATACCGTAATATAATATGATTTCCTTACAGTGAAACTAAGCTTAGCAACTGTCAGTTTGATCCTTTTAAATTATTTCTCCTTTACAAATCGGAAAAGAAGTTTTACTCAACTCATATCGATTATACTCTGAAAAAGCAAACTATCTGAAAACGCCTGTGGCAAAATAAAAATAACAACGTTCAAGTTGTATGGTATGATTTAGAAGTCAAGAAGCTTCAAGGCGTTTGAGATAAATTTATAAGTAAAGTTCTAAATTTTTAATTGGTCACTGACGAAAGCAATAAATTCATCAGTCACTCATATTCACGCTATAGCCGTAGAGGTCAATTCAACTGATAACACATTTATATTATATCTGAACTACTATCCTAATTGGGAACATGAAGAAATAATGTTTATTTTTGTAAATTTTCAGGTGTTCTAACATTTTCATGTTTATCTTTACTAAGAAATACGCAAACACAGAATATTTATAACCCCAATATCCTGAATCCAGATCTCATATATTTCAACGATGAAGGACAAAGATATCCAGATGTATTACCACTTGACAACAGACAAAGCATCTGGGCTAATCGTGATGCTAACTATTTACAAGGAAATCAAGGAGTTTTTAATCCAGTACGAGCTCAAACTCCAGTTCCAACTAATATTAATAATTTTGGAATCAATCCAAATGTGCAAAAGCCTAGTTTGAATAGTTTTAATGTTATACAAACACCGAGTTCTGATATGGAACCTCCACGCCGTGGACAAAATTTCGCTGACAGAGTTGCTGATGCTGGTGAAAGTGATATAAATTCAGCAATTAAAAATTTAACTGCTGGTTTGGTAGATCCTGTGTCTTTGGCATTATCGGACTTTAGTATTAAGCTAATGCAGGTTTGTATATTATTGTACTTGAAACATAATATTGAATATGAAATGTAAAATATTACTGTCAGTAATATTTTACCTATCACTTACATTTTGCTATTGGATATTATAGGATATACACAAAATAATTAATAAATTTTTAAGTAATACCTAGATGTGAACTAGGGTTATTTCCAGTTTCCCGAGATGGGATGCTCAATATCATCTCCAAATAGTAGGATCTAACAAGGATCGAAGTACAAACCGAAGTACCGGTAATCCGACTTTCTGCTTACAGATTGTGAGATGTGTTATAAATTTCAATTCTCAAAACATGTATTTAGAGAATTTTTATAAACATTAATGAAAAAATTAAAATAGAGTCAACTTTGTATTATAAACATGTGTAAAGTATATAATTATATTAGCAGTAATAAATAAATAAAATATATAGATTTCCGATAACATCCGGTAGTAATTCTTTTATTAATTTTACAGAGTATTCCCACGCAACAGGGTAACTTGGTGGTGTCCCCTTTCTCGATTGCAACACTTCTAGCGCTGCTTCAGCAAGGATCATTAGGTAACACGCAGTATCAGATCACTGTCGCACTACAATTGACACCCAACCAGGCCGCCGATGGCTTTAGGAAGTTAACAGAAAATTTTAATGTGAGTTACATATCAAAACAAAAAACTTTTCCAGCTTATTGTTATTTTACTGAATATGTCATAGGTAACCAATATTCTTTTCGAATTTTTCCTTGCTCTGTAGGCTGTAGGCCTTGAAGAAGACTAATAGAATACCTAAGCAATCGGGACAATTCATTGGGTAACAAATGAATGAAAAATAAACTAAAGATTACTATACTATACTAATATATGTTGAATGTGAACATTAACACACTTTCTAAACATAGCTTGAAGGTATACCAAAAATTTAACTCATTCCCGTAATAATGTAGTTGTCTCTTTTTTTTCAGAAACGTTTTTCTTCAAACATTCTGAATGTAGCAAACAGTATATTTGTTGCTGACAGTTTCGAGATTAATCCATCATACAAGAGGATTGCTAGGAATGATTTTGGCAGTGAATTGATCCCAATGAAATTCAACAGGCCTGCAGTAGCAGCGCAGAAGATCAATAATTGGGTGGCTTCAAAAACAAATAAAAAGATCGACCAGTTGCTAACTCCAGGTAATTAAATACTAATAAGGGAATAAATAAGTTAGTGCGATTCAGATAAAAAATATGGATTAAATTAAATTTCCAACAAAGCAAAGGTTCTATACGTAGTCCCTCGGTTGAAGTTTAAATGTAAGTCTTATCGATTTAATGCTTTGTTAAGAAGAATTTATAAAGGATCTACTGATACGATGAAAATAAATAATAATTACCTTTTTAATTTAATAGTATATTTACAAAATCGTAGGTTAGGGCTTAATACCTACTTACTTTTGGAATAACAATGCATATTTAGAGTAAAACAATAAAATAAATCTTTAGGAACCTTATGATTGAAGGTGTGGTCCCTAGTGTGGTGATGGAGACAACTGGCCAGGGAGACTAAAGGATAATTGTCTCCCTCCGAGCTAGGTGTTGTTAGCCCGGGGACCGCGGTCCTCGGGCTAAAAACACCTAGCTCGGAGGGAGACAATTATCCTTTAGTCTCCCTGGCCAGTTGTCTCCGTCACTACAATAGGGACCCCAACCTCCAACCTTACGGGGCGACTGATATATAGCGACATCTAACTCATCGCAGTAACATCGCCACAAATCGATTTAAAGAAGATTCAAAATTTAATATAAATTAAGTAATACATATTCTATAAATATTAATTGTAAGACTGATGAATTTCAGAGGCCGTTGCTGCGGATACGCAATTAGTTCTAGTAAACGCTGTATACTTCAAAGGATTGTGGGCGGTCAAATTCAAGCCAGAATCCACGATACCCAAAGACTTTTATATGAGTAACGGTGGGAAGAAGACTGCTTCGTTTATGCGAATGAGACGGTTCTTCAGAACTGACTTCGATAAGACAATTAATTCACAGGTCCTCGTATTGCCTTTTGAGGTAAGTAATTTATTTCGTTATCAGAATAACTATCATAGGTATTAGCGCAGATTACCTGGTTTTGGCCATTTTAAGATCATAAACTTAGTTTTGGCACTTTAAATTATGAGGAAATGAATTTCGACACATAACAGTCGTTAATGTTTTTAGTTTTGTAAAACCATTTATGTATAACCATTTATAAAACCATTTATGGCGAAGTAATATATTTGTATGCGTAAGTTAGAACGCCTTGAAGTTCCAAACGGCCAAATACGGGGCAGTGGTCAGGATCATCTGCCCTATAAGTTAAATTATCATTAATAAAGAACACAATTTTACAACAATTAATTGACTTATATCAACAACTTATTGATTTTGTGTTTTTATTGTGAATTTCTTTGTTTATTGTGACAATGTCATGACTAAAATGCATTTATTTGGATTTCAGAATGATTTATATTCATTAGTGTTCATACTGCCCTCTGAAACGGAATCCATTGCGTCAGTTCTTGCATCGCTGACTAAAGAGCAACTCATATCTTACCAGAAATACACACCAAAGGAGGTTGCCGTAGAAATACCAAAGTTCACAGTGAAAACTGATACCGATCTCGTTTCTGTGCTTCGAAATGTAAGTATTCAATTTAATATATTTAGGAACACTGACACAACATGACATTGGTTATTGTCTTCTTTTATTCCAAAGAACGCCAGTTAGTTATAAAATATTTATTTTTGTTTTATTAATTGATAGGTTCACCAATAAATATAAAAAGCAGTTACTTACATATATTAAAGAAAGTAACTGTTGTCAGTTTGAGATAACTGCACTTACAATTAGGGGAAACCAAAAATTTTATTTCTTTCTGTTTTACCTTTTTCTCTGTATAATACACATTTCATATTTCTTTTCATTTGTGGATTAGGAGATAATATTCCATAGCATTAGTCCGCTTTTTGTGTCATTTTCGTATTGGTCAATATATATTTTTTCTTTTAAGCTCGGCATTGTTGATATGTTTGGACCTCGAGCACAGCTATCTGGTATTGGAGTTTACCGAGAACAATCCCCTCAAGTATCATCAGCATTTCATTCAGCAATGTTATCGATTGACGAACAAGGAGGTGTAGCAGCGGCAGCTACATCCTTCGGAGTTGTAGCTTTATCATATGATGATCCTTCAATAATATTTAGAGCTAACCGACCGTTTTTGACTATATTATGGGATAAAACAGTATCGATTCCGTTGTTTATGGCTAAAATCGAAAACCCAACCCCGTAAACATATTAGAGAACTTATAAAATTGGCATATGATATTAAGAGGTATTTGAACAAATTATGAGAATGGTGAAAATTTAATAGCGATCAGCTATTCTCTGTATAAGTAAGGTGTGATATGTCCAAGTCCGTGTGTATATCCGATTTTAATGATAATATTAAAAGTACCAATTCTATTATTCATGTTGTTATTTTTATGTACGTTTGTGACAAATCTACATTTTGTCTTTCAGAAAGTCTAACTCAATTATGATATGTTTTACATAGTAGAGTTAATTTTAGTTGAGCCTTGATAGCATAAGTTAATGAAACAAAAGACACCATTATAAAATTTAATGAATTTAGTTAAATAAAATATTTTACACTTTTTTAATGTTAAACTGTAATTTTATAGATACAATTGTGCATTTATTGTATGTGTCATTGTGTGAATAAGTTTATAATAAGAAAATATGTTCAAATGACTTAGCAACTCCTCTTAAAAGCATGGACCATGACAAATGTAATTTATATTGTAAATAATTGTTTGGAGTCGTCATTATTTCATATTATGTAGCAGTCTTGAACAACAAACATCATGTTAATTATAAAAAGTATGTTGTTGATGTAATATGATTTCTTCTCTTTATTGTAATACAATTAACAGTTGAAGAAAAGAACATGTTACATTAGCTGTACAATCAATAGTCAACATAGAAAAGTAAAATCGAGATTCGATAAAAGTCAACGATTAGCTAGGAACATGTTATAAAAACTAGTCTTATAAAATAAACGAGATTAGTTTGACATTTGAGATTTTTTATTTTTTCTTGAGACGTTTGAAAAAGTTTATGATAGGGTCATTGGCGAATGTCCTGAAATTGCCGCTGAAGTAAGATTCGATCTCTTGTAAATTTTTGCCTTCAGTTTCTGGTAGGAAGAAGTAAAGATAGATAGTCCCAATATAACCGAAAGCGGCGTAAACAGCGAATGCACCAGAGAGCTTCAGATTCAACTCGAAGTTGAGGAAAGTTTTGGAGCCGATGAATATGAAGATGTAGGCGAATGCAGCTACCACTCCTTGCGCTAATGCACGGCTCCTGTTGTAGAATAATAGTTAGTTTTAACGTTTTTCGCAAGATCACTAAACAGTAATATTATTCTATAATAAAAACAGCGTCGAACACGACGACAAGGATAGCGTTGTGACAGAATAGAGCTTATGTGAAGCATAAATAATTGACTTAGGACTGACAGTTTTGAAACAGTTAGGAGTTTAGCAAATCAAAGCAATTATTAGGTATACTATGTTGTTGAGGTAATGTAGTTAATTAATGATCTAATAATATTTAATATTTCGATGAAACTCCAATAACAAATACTTAAATTAAATAAAATTATTTTAGAATCATTCCATTTTTATCATTACAAAATAATTGTGCGTGTATCTCTTACTGGAATGTTGCTAATGAAAATTCATTTTGTGTCTCTGTACTAATTGAGTGTCCAACACACCTACCGCCTCTGGACAGGCGGCATTTAACACATTAATCTCAACATATGCAATTACAGGCAAGAATGGATAAAGTAAAGTATGAGTAAGCACATCAGAGCTAAAAGTAGTGCTAGTAATAGAACAATTTAGAGATACAATTAATAAATGCATGTTTATTTTGGTAATAGAAGAGATGATTTTCATATAGCAAAAAGGTTAAAAGCATTCATGGATGGAATGTTGAATGTTAAGAGAGCAAGACTAAAGAAGAGACTGTGTAAAATGTGCTTATGGGTAAGAAGAGTGAATGGTGAGATGACGACAGCCCTGCGATTCCTCAAAACCAAATTCGAAATAACTCATGCGTCTGTCATGGAATTCACGTTATTTAGTGTTAAAATTCAATTTTATATTAAAAAAAAACAAAATTGATTATTAGCTATTCTATTCTTATGTTATTTCGAAACTCACTTCACTTATGCGATAAAACGTTATTACCAATTTAAGGATGAGCGGATGCCGCTTTTTGAAATGAATTTGGACACCTGGGTGAATTCGAATTCTGGTTTAGATTTTCACAGAATCCCAGGGCTGATCGAGAAACGTGTTGCACCGACCCCAACCGACTGACAAATGAATTGAGAAGATGGCAATGCAAGCAAATGATGATGATATGTAAGAGAATCTCACCGGAATGGAAACACTTCTCCCATTAATATCCATGGCACAATAAATCCATAACAAAAAATAAGCAGATAAAATAATACTAAAGGCACATAGCTGTGTTCTTTGGGAAATGTACTACTGTCGTATGAGAAGACAGAAGATTCTAAGTTTTTGCTGGCGTATATACTGAGAGCCATGCTGAATAATCCGGAACCAAACAAGGAAGAGATGGCCAATATGCGTTTGCCTAGGATTTTTATCAAGACTATGGTAAGACAGTTGGCAATCAACAATATTATGCCGACCATAACCTGAAAAAATATTAAACCTCATTATTTTTATTTCATTTTAATTAAGATACGTACAACATAGGTGACTACCGGGTGAAAATACAAATCAAAAGTATGTTTTACACTTTTACGCGACCCTTTATATGTCATAAAACAAAGGCAAATTAAACAAAGATATGCATATACGAGTACCTATATAACTCTATTATATTTTTTTTAATAATATCGCTAAGTTACTAAATATAAAAAAACTAAAGCTAATGACTTTACAGCTTTCTCCTAACAGTTAATGTATTACAATTTACAGTTGAAAATATTCAAACCATTACCAATGAGTTCATTATAAGTATGCAGCACAGCAATTAGTATTAAAATTAACAGAGGATTCAATTTTGATAAAAATCTTATAAAGAGTCATTCAATCTAGGACCCCTCTCCCTATTAACAACGATTGCAAAATAGATATTTTTAATCTCTCATATGAACGGTAGGTGCGTAGTTGAGTTAATTTATAACATAAGAACTTAATAAAACGCTTCTGTATTCTTTCGAGTTTGTTAATATGAACTAAATAATAAGGCGACGAAATTATTTTAGGTATTAAGACAAAATATATTTTTTATCATAGTTGTGCTACTTATAAAAATACCTAACTAAAACACTTTTGATTTTATCCAGTATCAACCAAATCGGAGTCAAAGTCAAGCTGGAGGTTTGCAACTCCATTTCATATCAATAATTGCCATTCAAATAATGTTCCCACCGTTGGAATCGCATAGCGAGAATGGGTTATGCTTATGACCCACCATCGCACAGATAATATATTTTGGCCACACATCATGTAAAATTCTTGCAAAAGTTTCTTGCGTCCACATCTTAGACCAAACGCGCAATATTTGGACCTCTTCATCCAGTTTACGAGTATTTTAAAATTTCAGCACCATCGAAAACCGTTTTGAAAATAAATAGTTTTTAGCTTTGCAATATCTGACTCACACTAACTAAAAACTTGTAAAAATAATAATTCTATTTACCGCAATATTTTTCCCTCCATCAGCCATGCCGAAAGCATCACAGATGTTGATCATATTCGGCCGGATCGGCGTTAGACCGGTCATACTAATAAATAGGAAGTACATAATCATCAGTACAAAAGGTCTGAGTGTCTCCTTGGCTATCATTACATATCTGAATTTCAAGTAGATCCTGAAAAAAAATTGGCAACAGTTAAAAATAAGAAATGAATTTGAGCCCACTCAATATCATTGTTGTACCCAAACAAATATGTATTTTAGACGTATAATACATAACTTTGATACTCAACTCGGTCAAATTACTGAAAACGTGAACAAGACGGTTTAAACACCACAGTGTCCAACTAGTTTTAATTCTGTCCCGTACAGAATTAAAACTAGTTGGACACTGTGATGTATGATCAAACTAAACAGCATAGCTGGTGTATATTATCAACCATTTTATTTTATTACTAGTAACATTATGTTTGGTTTTGTAATATAATCAGTAGGTAAAACAGATATTTAATAAATGACCAAATCTAACAAAACCCATTAGGTAAGGAAAGTTGGTTACTTTTGAAATATTCTTGCTATCACGACACTTCTGAAGGTGATGGACCATGATTTTTATGTTAAATGTGATATATTTACTGAGGAATCTAACATTAAAATAACCTAACATAATGAATGGACATATTATTAATACCTATTACCTATATACACCTATGTTTAAAAATAATTTCAATAATAATAACTTAAAATATTGTCGTTAGATTAGAATCAACACGCTGAATCAAAAAATGACATATATAAATAAATGATTGCACAATTAATTAATAACCTGTAAGTAATTACGGTTTAATATTGAATTTAATTTGAGCATTGTCAGTTTTTTATTATTATGCTAGCAATACTTTGTAAAATTCCGCTAGGATATCCGCGAGATGTCCGTAGAGGGTAAACATTTATGTTTTTCATTGTGGTAATATAAGTTGCTACTACAGGTACCTAGTTACGATTGGCTTGACAAGGTTTTCTGGAGTCAATAAGTTTTAAGGAAACTAACATTGTTTAATAAAGACCTTACTGTCGTCAATGTCACTAGCGAACCGCAAATAGTTAACAAAAGGTGCAAAAAATATACAATTTTAAAGACTTATTACCGCCATCAGAGGTTGTGATGTTCAGAACTCTTCAGTTCGCAACAATCATGCCATGATTATAATGAGTCAGCTGATATTATGTCGTGTCTGTGACGATGATGGCTTTATAATTTTGTATTCGTTTTGAATAATCATAAATATTTTATGCAGGGATCCTGTGCGTGTAACATAAATACTTATTTGTTTATGATTTTAAATTTGATTTTATAATCTAAAATTTCAAATGTTCGATATAAAAAGTAATTCTGTAAATTAATGTCTCGAAGATGCGATTCTATACATTACACTACAATACAAATTCAATAAATAAATATTTATATTATAAATACAAAGGCGTCTATGTAATAAATAATCCAACCGGCCTTCAATATATCCATATTTTACTGTTAAAGGTTGATCTACTACAAAAATATAGAAAAACTTCAAATTGGAAGGCATTGCGGACGTTTCCTACCACAATTACGTTCGTTCCGAATATTCAACGAACGAAAATGTTTGACATATTTATTTTCTAAACCTACTCTATTTCACGAAATGACAAAACGAACATTTGAGTTTGACATCTAATTGTTCGGAATTCTTACCTCAAATTGACGAAGTAAAAAATGTTACCTTTTCATTTTCGTTAGCAATTTTTTATTTTCGAAATGGGGTCTATATTACTATTAATCGAGTCAGCTCTCAGTAAAGAACGATTAGACCGTAGAAGAAATCGGCAGCGGCTTCGAAATAGCCTTAATATAAGAAATATTCTCGATACTGAGTTTGTAAGTATTTACAGACTCAGTTGTGAATTATTTCAAGAACTATGCCAAGAGATTATACCTTTACTGCGTCCACAGGCAAGATCTCATGCCATCGAGTCCACAATTAAACTTGGAAGATATTTTATCGTAGTTCTTGATAAAAAAAATTGCATGCCTACCATTATGCATTTCATATTTTTATGATTCTTACAGCGTTGAATTTTTATGCCCGAGGTAGTTACCAAGGATTCGTATCTCAAAACATGGATGGGCCTATGGCCCAACAAACAGTTTCACGGTGTTAGGAGGTTAGGACTGTCCTCAATTCACCAGATAGGTATTATAAGAAAATATATTATTCCCTCAAAACCAAAATGAAAGGAATCTTATTAAGAGACAGTGAGTACCTAATAGTTTATTGTTTATTTTGGCTTTATGTATGAATTGTGAATAATTACCTATAGAATTATGTCATTAATATTACAGATTTTACGAGGCATATAGGCTTTGATTATACCTGAAAAATATGACTGATAAAAAGTAAATTTATTACTAAAAACCTTTTTTGTGCCGAAAAACTAAATATTACTTTCATACTTACTTATAAAGTTTTTTACTGAATTGTCAAGATAAATTTCGGAACTCACAATAATTAAATAAAATATTAGTAAACATTGAACAGTTTGGTGAAAACTTGTAAATCCTTCGCAAAGGCACTCCATAATTGTCCTTTATACAATAACATAATATGTGATAATTTGTTTTTAAGTTAAAAAACTGTTAATAAAAATGCTTAAAAATCCACTCTGGAATGGTACTCGAACCCATGACCTTTCGCAATTCGCAAATTTCTGAGTTCCTCAGATCTCAGAATGCCACAGACAAAATGGATTCTTTAAGCATTTTTAATTAAGAATATTCTTCAGAATACCATTGCGAATGCAAAATTGATCAAATAGAATAATTTGTTTTTTGTTTTGCTTACTTGTAGCTACAAGAAAATGAATATGTTTACTGGCCTCTTAAAGACATTCGCCTTCTTGTGTTCGCAATCTATAATTTCATCATCGTCAGTCTTACAGCAGATGGCGCAGCATTCTAGTTTCTTGCAGTAGACGGTTAACTGATCGAACTCATCACGAACATTGTCTGGTGTCGTCCATCCTCGGAGGTAGCATAGAGACTTGAGAGCTTCCTTCTCTCTCCCACGCGATAAAAGCCACACTGGAGTCTCTGGAACCTTGAAACAACTGATTTCTTGCGTGTGATACGGTACAGTATAGTAATTTTAAAAGTAATATTAAAGTGAATTCTTATTCTTCTTATTCTATTATGGATCAATTAGCGAACTTTGAAGTTAAATAAATAAGTAAATCATAGTCAAATTATTTTCGAATTTATTAAAAGTACTTTTAAATCGGCCAATAATTTTTATCTACTAATAGGTCAGGACGTCTTTGGCAGATAAGAAGAATAAGTGAAAGAAACTCACCAGCTCTAATAGAAGTGTCGTCAATTACAAAAATTATGATATTATCAAATTAATACTTAATATATGTATTGAGTTAGAGTAACACTATTTGAAATTTGTATAAATAACTTTCTTTATTGTTAGGGAACTTCATAACAAAAAGCTGTTAGTATCAGTGGCGGACTAAGCTCATCAAAGGCCCGGGGCGGCTAAAGGCCAGGATTGACAACTTTTTCCAACTGAGGCAGAAACTTTATATTTAAACGCCCTGCATACATTTTTAGCCTTCTTATTTTATTATGATTTTGGGGGACGAATTCAATCACTTGGAGGCGTGCCCCCTCCCCTTTAGTCAGCCACTGGTCAGTGTAAACGTTTAGTTTTGATAAACTGGTGATGGATATATTTACCAAGATAATAAACACCATAGATACAACTGGAGCTGCTAAGCTAACTAATGCAGCTTCCCGCCAGTTCATTATTTTTCCTAAGAAAAACATGAGTAGAACTCCAGCACTATAAAACATTTGTGTGCTAGTACATAGCATTCCTCGAAGCGAAGGCTCCCTGGAATAAATAGTAAATTATATGATGTAACTTTCCGTTATCTGGTTATTTTCTTTATGGATGGTTTAGGAGGATGGGTCATTGACCCGCCACGCTGGCCCCTTACGGATTGGAGGGTATTAACGACTGCAAATGTAGCCAGAATCTACGACATTTCGTGCTCTCGTAGGGGCTTGAAACAATACATTTTTGTTCACCCATTCCACTAATGCCCTTTGCGAAGTTGCTTAATTAAGCTCCTCAAGATGATGAACTTTAAAAGTATTATTACACACGTGATCTCTCCAACGTATGCATTGAGAGGTGCTTCCATTAATCCAGTTCCGAATCCTAGAAGTGCATTGGCCGCAAACAACATGGTAACAGTCGAAGCAAAGTACATCAGGATCCATGCGACTACGTGAGGTATGTTCACCATGAAACTGGTATACTTTCTACCGAAGTGGTCTACAAAAGGAGCAGAGAGTATAGCCCCGAACGGCTGCAAGAGAAATCCTACGCTACCTGGAACAGAAACAAATAGAAATATATTTACATACATGTATTATTTACATAGCTGTTAATTATTACATGCAACCTTGGGACTGTTATCCTTTAGGGTGCTTAATATCGGATAATAAGCAAAAAGCGTACTGTTTGTTCTTTTTATTGGCCATTTTTCCAATGAAAACAAATAAATATTCGACAAAATCACATTTGTCGCATCCCAAACAGGATATAAAGCTTTTATTTAAATACTAAGTATTGTAATAAAAAGAAAAATCTAGATTATTGATCGGATTGATAGACCTCGGAGGTTTTGTGTGTACCTACTAAGATACTATAACTACATTTGTACATTTGTTTTGTGTCTTACCGAACCATGAAGCTTCTACATCATTCATAGATAGTTCATTTTTTGAGTCAAGCAGATCAGGGATTATTATAGTTGCGAAGCCAACAGCTAATGCCAAGTCCAGTAACATTAGATTTTGCGCCATACATGATATGACCTGAAATTAAGCACAGAAAATTTTTGAGATGTAACGGTTGACTGTTTGGTCCGATATCCGATATCCGGAAGCCGATAATCTTGGGTTATCATCTCTTTAGTCATGACTATAAGATCTAGCGATGTTGTATGGCAATATTCATTTTCATTTTACTACCTTGCCATGTGATTTAATATGACGAATGGATGATGGATAATTTATGGATCATAAAGAATGATGATTGCTTAAGGTTTTAACAACAGTGTTACCAACTTACCAAAAGACATGGTAAAGTAGTAAAATGAATAGGTATCGTCATAACATCACATATATGTCAATGTCATGTCCGATTTTATATCAAATTGGACGATATCTGTCACGCTGCATTTAATATTGACTGTGTAGTTCGTTGTAGCCATTGCACCATTCTCTTTCTTGGCATAGCTTGGCGAAACTTCACTATATATAGTTAATGTTACGTCATAATTGCCAAATGGTAACTCCTTATTATTTGCTTAACCAGTACTTTAACATGTTTGTTATTGTTAAAGTAAGTTGGTGCAACTAACTCTAAGATGTTGTATGCTATGGCAAAGTAATGGCTAGAGAGTCAAGCGACCGCATCCGGGGTGGTACATTTCGAAGCGAGCTTGCGTAGGCAGCACATAAACGAACGTGCGGACTATTCGAATATTCATGAGCGAAATTTTTGTTGACTTTCAATTGGAATCACTATCAACGAGGGGGAATACCAGACGATGAAAGTGAAGTTTGATTATAATTAATGTAAAATTTATTGAAACCACACCTCGACTATTTGTAATTCATAAACTGGTAAATGTACGCATGATATGCATTTTTTAATGCAAATTTTACAAAATTTCACAGCATTCTTTCTTAACGGTGTTATATATTTTGTGTTTACATTATTTATATTCTTATTTTTATATATTGGATGCGATCTAATTGGTCATGATCCGATATAAATGAGGAAACATTATAAATAAAATCTACGACACAATTTTTTTATTATTTAAAACAATAAATAATGGGGCTAATGTTTTTTGGACTAATGATGGTATAATGTTAGGAAATAAACATTTTTATTTATAAAACGTGTTTATAAAATCTATAGATAACAATAATCTTTTGAACGCATTCATTTAAATAGTCTTTCATATAGTAATAATACAATATGTAATTAACAAAGTAATAAAAGTATCGGAACTTTTTTATCGATCATAATAACGTACAATCAACTTGTCAGGTTTAAAAAGATGTAAAATTTCTCCAATCAATTGGAACTTAATTTCATAAAAAATAAAATGCGTTATTGAATGTAGAAATTAGGTAAATGGTGGTACGAGTAACTTAATGTGCTGTTTGTTTGTATATAATGGACATTTGAAATACCTTTTTGTTATTAACGATAACATATGTTATTAACTAAAAAAAAACTCATTTCACGAATATTATGCAGACTAAAGAGTAAGGAGATATGAAAAGTACAGTTGAAGTATAAATATACAATGTCAAGACGAATTGTTTTCATAATATTTCATTGAGATAATAAATATTGAAGTAGAAAGCTAAGTAGGAAATGGGTTGATGAATGAAAATAAACAACAACAAACTTAAAAATGGATTCAATTATAGTATAAGTTATACAAACCACTGACACGATTATCATCCGCCCTTTTACATCCACACTGCAGGAGCCATCCTTATGGACGATTAAACCATTTAAAGATGATTAAAGTAAACAATTAAGGAGGTCGGCAATAAGTTTAGGCAAATACACCTTTTCATTTATTGTTTTAAATTAGTACCTTTTTCAATAATATTATATTATTAATAATCTTCAATAGTTTATGAAAGAACAAAAAAAAATTTTAGAAATACATTTTTCTTTTACAATAATGTTAATTATAATTCAAAGTAGCCTCTTTATTTAATCTTTCAAAGTAACAGCCTTTTATCATCAGTATATATACTCTATTATATTGTGATAGCATACTTTGTAGTAAGAATTTTAAATATTTGAACAAACTTAAGAAGTTTTTTCACCGCTGACGATAAGCGAGTAGAAGAAATGAGTTGCCTAACGGGCTTATCGCGATTAAGCGTAGTATTGTTTTAATATTACTTAGCTGATTAGTACAATGACCTTCTTAAGAGTGTGCTTAATTCATTATTGTTTTCGTTGTTAGTTTTGTTATCCCTCAGATATGCGTCATAAAGGGTCAATGAAATAAAAACTATTAAATTTTGAAAGGAAACAGCTATCAACCTTATCTGCCTTAGGGCTCAACGAAACTCAACGTACAAACTAAAATTTTAAGTAGAAAAATCCAAAGCAAGTTTAAAAAGAGGACGCAATAGTACCATAATTTACTTAAAAGACACAGTTCTATCTCACGGCGCTGTGATATCACTCGAGAATTGTAAAAGCTCCGAGGAGCAGACAGGGCGAGTCCAGCCGGTCGACTGGTCGCACCCCTCACGTCGCGCCACGGCTACGCCACTACCGAGGTCCCGGCGCTGCACCAGCCATCAGGTAAGTACAGTCCTCGCGTAAGGGGAAGAATCCGGTTTGCAGAGCACTTACTTCAAAAGATTTAACAGAATATCAAAGCACACAGCAAATCTAAATTATCCTCAAGTGGGTGTTCCAAGCGAAGTCAAATCAAGGAACATAATTTCTTCTTCTTCTTTTATTTATGGCTTATCTGCGCATTTCGCAACAATTTTGCCAATGTCAAGTAAATAAATTAATTTCTACATGTAAAATGAAAATTAAATGAATGAAAGATGACGATGGATCTCAGACTGATATATTTTTTTTCTATCGAACATAATTTTCTATGTTCCAACATAAATTGACAGATAACAGTTGAAATGCTATTCAGTGACACTTCTTCTGAAGTTCAATTTGATACAAAAAACTTTCGCTGCAAACTCGCACGCAGCTGCATTGAAATTATATCTATAAAATTTCTGTGTCAATTAAACATGCTTTTATTTTGAAATTATTACAAATAGTATAAAATGGATAGTAAAGAGTAATATTAAATTTATATCGTAAATTAATTTCTCCATATAATAAAGTATTGTAATTATGAATAACGAACATTTTCCAACACTTGTAGAATTTACATCAATTGTATTTTAATAACTTTATTTATACAAATGGCTTCTATTTTCAACAATGAATAAGAATATGTTATTGCATTTTATTTAGGTGCCTTTTTATATACTGCTTACAGTTTAATAACTCAGAAGGTATCAAGTCTGGAAACTCATGATCATACACAGCCAGATATTACTGTATTGAAATTATATACCAATATTAGTACTAGTTGTCGTTTAAAATGGGTCTCATAAGAAGGATCAAGGTGTAACCCAGTGTGTAATGGAGAGAGAAATGCGTGGTACTCATTTCTCTACGTGATCGTATTAGGAATGAGACGATTTGTAAGCCAACGTCACTGACATCGCTTGAAGGATAACTGCTTTTCATGATGTGTCTATATCTGGTGACCTCTTTAAAAACCTAAATACGATAATACGGTTGCGTAAGATCAGTATTATTTATTTTTAACAGCAGGTGACTTCTCATCAAAATAAGAATAACTATAATTTAATAAACTATCAACGATACTCCATCATACGGATCGAGAATCATTACCTTGCTGACACAGTGAACACTAGAAAGGGAGGTAAACGATTTGCAATTGTGTTCCCTCAATTTAATTTGACCAAAAATTCATGATCTCGAATTTTTCTATGCTTCGTGCCACACGGAAAAATACATTTTAGTAATAACACTGGGCCGCATGCTACATATTCTAAGTAAGAGTGTTTAAATGAAAAAAAAGTCTATGAATTTTGTCTTTGAAAACGTCAAGATTGATTTATTTAAAAATATTAAAAACTTTTTATTTTATTTTGTATTAGATCTATTAAAATAAGTTCTGTAAATGTAATTAATTGCTTGCGATAATCAAACTTTATTAAATTTAAATTTTTTGATAAAAAAAAAATACCGTTTATTTTTCCTTAAAAAAAATAAAAAGATCGGTGTGCCAAAAATATTAATTTGTATAAAAATAGGTACAGAGACTAATTCAAAAGAAATTTAAACAAAACCAGTCGTATTTTAACCAGAGACGTTCCAGTTTTGATAAACTTAGGGTAACAAATTACGTCAGTCTGTGAGCGGGATGAAATCGCACAGTGATGAGTCATAATATGTAAATCTTATAGTAAAGCATTGTGAATGAAAAATAGATCAAATATGTATAATAACGCCAATCTTATGTCAATTCTAATAGTCCTGGCTGAATTTGTAGTCGTTAGCTATTAAAATAAGTTCTGTACACCGTATTGGCGGATATTAACTTTCCACCACGTGGTTGGTTATGGCCCGTTCTCCCTGTACGATTCCATTTTATTTATATGATAGGCCTGTGTCCCAGTAATGGGAAAATGAATAGGCTGACAATAACGAGTCTTAAGATTGCTCTGCATTTAATTGCCTATCAAAAACAATGAACATATTTCGAACGTCATGAACATATATCGAACGTCATATAAGGAAAAAAGTGTCTATGCAGTTGGCCTTACAACAGCTGTTAATGTTTTATTAGTACCTATACTATTATAAATATTCATACGAATTGTACGTCATCAACGAGTCACAACATTTACAGATTATACCATACTAATCCGGAAAAAAATCCGGATATTTTATTTTTAAAAATCCGGATATTTAAAAAATACAATTTTTTTATGTGTATCGTTATCTTTTTTATTATAATATTTTTCTATAATAGAAATATTATTAACAAAATCTCCTACAGACTAATAAATATTTACCAATTGTTAGTTTGGTAAAATCGTAATGTAATTAGCTAAAATATTGGGATATATATTTTCCTATTTATTAATATCTTATTAAACCAACAATCGCTAGAAAGTTGTCTGCAGTGTTATAATATTAAGTCGTCAAAAATAATTTTTATCAGATTTCTCAAGCCTATTGGATAGCCATTATTTGGACTATAGGTCT